AATGATGCCCAAACGAACAACAGAGATGGGGACGTAGGTGGCACAGAGGAACATGTCACATTGAAAGGAGAAAACTGAGAAGCAGAACAAGTCTGTACCACAGGGAATTGCTACTGAATGTGGCACTGAGTTCAGGTTGTGTCCAATTAACAGGGTGCAGCGGGATTGTTTGGGCCACACACCGCAGTATTTATTCTGCAGGTGGGCTGAGTGCCAAGCTATTTTTTTCTAGGCAGTTTGCTCTTCTATCTCAATGTGAATGACAAGAGGCTCTAATGATTTCTCAGTACTGATCTGACAGCTGGTTCATGGGGCCACACTGATAAATGGAATTTATCAGCCATTCAGGTCATTCTTACTTGATGAAGGGTCTGTTATCCTCATAGCTAAAGAGTGCGTAGACACAAAGACAAGAACACCAACATTAGCATTTTAGGACAAAGAATTTCATAGGAAAAATATTCTCCTGGTTCCCAAAGGCCTCTGTCTCCCACCTCCCTGAAAGGAGTCGTACCCCTTTATATCCAGAAAGTAAACCCAAAAATGACCATGAGAACTTAAATAACAAGGAATAAAACCAATTTTGCGATATTGCAATATCCCTTAGGAGACTCAAAAGTTCCATTTTTCCATCCTGTCCTCATATTCCTTATGATTTGACAGCGACATGTATTTCACAGAGATCACATTTCTCTAGAGAATGAGAAATTTTAGGAGCAATCTGGAAAAGGCTTGGGGGCATGCTTAAAATGACAGATTTCACGGCATCTAAATCCTTATTCTGTAATCTGAGAGGTAAGATTATTTAATTATGGACAGTATGTGTCTAAGTAATTGTAACTTGCAGAGGACTGACCTGAGTGAAATCTTAATATTACAACTCTTTAAAAATAACCAATGTTGACTATTTTAAAACTGCTTCTGTTAGTGTAGTGAGGAAAAAAAAAGAAAAATCTTTTGAATAATCTGAGAAAATACATAGCATCTGCTTAGTCACTTATATTTACTGATTTATTTAAGTATCATTTTGATAAAATAAGACCCCAGTATCCAATTAGTAAAGCTTAGCTAGGATTCAACACTTTGAATCATATTTTTACAAACAATTTCTGCTCAGAGAATTGTGGCAGAACAAAAAGGAAGGGTGATGGAAAGGCCTGTGTTATGTGTGAAAGGCTCATAGAAAGGTCCCAAGTGTGATCCATTCTTCATAAAGAGACCTACTGATAAAAACTCACTCTCCAGAATGGAGGAATAGTCAAGAATGGTATCTGAAGCCAGTTTTCCTGGGTCACCCGCTTCCTACCACATATTTTATCTCAGGCAAAAATTAATTCATGTGTGGTTGGGTCAGTTTACATACCCACGAAATAGCAATAATTACAACGTAAGTTTCTAGTCACAATAAAAGGACTTGTTATATACAGAATGCTCAGAACAGTGCCTAATACATAAGGTGTTCAATAACTATTATATATTTATTATATATTACATATTATGATATATTTATTAAACCATTTAAAGTCAACGTTTGAAATACAAAGTTTTTCACCCAAAGAATAAAATGGCAGAGGGGAGGGGGGAGGGTG